TGGGAGGAGGAATTGGAGAGATTGCACATGAAAAACAAAAAAGGAAGGAAATCAAGAAGGGCATTTCTGGGTGGCAGATATGGTCTGTGAATGTTACTGAGGGATTGAATAAAAGGGATCAGAATTGTTTACTACCTGAAAGTTAAAAGGGATCAGAATTGTTCTGAAAGCTTTGTAAACTATTTCTAAAAAAAACAAGGGCCGGCCTGTGGCTCACTTGGGAGAATGTGGTGCTGATAGCACCAGGGCCGTGGGTTCGGATCCCTGTGTAGGGATAGCTGGTTGGCTCACTTGGGAGAGCGTGGTGCTGACACCACCAAGTCAGGGATTAAGATCCCCTTACTGGTCATCTTTTAAAAAACAAAAACAAAAAAACAAGATAGGCTTAATATGAGACTTAAAATTTTAATCTTTTGTTTGTTTTAGGGCAAGTGGATAAATAAGGAACGGATTCTTATCTTTTCTTCCAGAGGAATAAATTTCAGAACAAGACATTTAATGCAGGACTTGAGAATGCTGATGCCTCATTCTAAAGCAGGTACCTTTATATTGTATACTTTAAAAATTTGTGTTTATTAGAACTTGCCTATTTATATATTAATACTTGTTCATATATTTACTCTTCATTGGTCAGTCTGTGATACCTTAGAAGTTTATCCTTTCAAGTGCCACTTGAAATTTCCAATTAGCATTTTGTTAGAAATTCTTTATAGAATTCATTAGACATTTTCTGTACTTTCTTAAACAGATATCCTAAATTATTGAAAAATTTCTCGAAGGTCCAGGAATGACTTCATTATAATGCTTCCAGAAGTCATGAGATAGGTGGGACAGTTTATTCTTTTAAATGATTCAGAGCTGCTATGTGTTGCTCTCTAAGTTGTTTTTTTGTTTGTTTGTTTTTAACTTTTTATTAGAAAGTTAATGGACCTAGGATTTGAAGCACCTTTAAGCCAAGTTTTTTGTTTTTTTTTAGCATTGGGGTAGCTTACTGGCAAGTGAAGAACACCTAGTCTCAGGTTTAGAGCCATGGCAGTTGCCATGTTTTTG